AAGCGACGTTATTTCAAGACAATATTTAGCATTTAATAATCTATACTTTAAATCAAAATACCAAACAAAAACCGGAGTCTTTTAATAGTTATGTAAAAAGAATATCATAACCGGATCAGTTAAATAATTTTTATACTTAAGTCAGCTTTTAATAAACCATAATCGCAATACCATTATCATCTCAAGCTCGTTTTATTTTATTTACCAGATAATGTTGAACACAGAACAACGATTTCTATCAGATTCTGTAGTAATATAGCGCTATTCTATGGCAGTCCAATTTTTTAATTAATGTTCTTATCAGCTATATAAATCAATGGCATGCTAGTGCACGCCACAAAAAATTTTGGTTGAGTCGACAACACTACTTTGGCTCGCAAAATCTTGATTATCAAATTGAGACCGAAGCTAGTATCTTTAAAGCTTTAATAACTCCAGGCAATTTTCGTAATTTATAAAAAGAAGACAAATGTTTCACTTAATCGTTTATAAAGCAAAGGGATAATTATTATTTTAGATGTGATTGTAAATTAATTTCTATAATTTTGGGTAATGCATGTTACATAGTACAATACATCCAACATATTAAAGAAAAAAAATCAGAGTTCTTTTAGCATCCGTGCGCAATCTGCTTGTGCAATGGAATGTGAACCATCGCTATAATCTGCTAACACGGCATTTATCTGGTACTTCCCCGAAGCCTATTTACAAAAACGAATATGCCAAATTTAATACAACTATTATAAAAACATTTTAGAAATATAAATATGTAAGCAAAAATAATTAATTATATACCAGTATTGAAATGCAGCACCAAAGCATTTTGCCGATGAGGTTTGTTCCCAGATGCCCTTTTTTCAATTTAGCTTTAGTTAGGCTATCTGTCAAAGTTTCAATTCCACTAGAGTGTAAAATATCCTTTATAATAAAGTAATAAATAACGTTAGAAAATAAATTATAGTAATAAGAATAAAGCTCAAGTAGCTTCTTACCTGTGATACAGTGCCCACTGCCTTGGCCAAAATAACACCGGTACCATCATCCAAACGCCAACTTATGTCCAATGAATCATCATTTGTCTCCCAACCAGTGACCAAACATCGACAAATAAATTGATATATATGTTGATTATTGATTATAGTTGCTAATGAAAGAGAACAACTATGCAACGACGAAACAGCCAACCACCCCTTAGCCATACTAACTATATGCAAAAAAAGGCGATGTTTAGAATAGGATTAACTTAACGGTATATTAAGAGAGTAAATGGTTACCATTATACACCATAGCACCACTTGATGCATCACCGTTAATTTCCAATTGGCCATTACTTTTTTTCCACGTATTTAATCCTTCCAAAACAATATATTGACCGATATGATATTCGGCTATTTTACGCCCAACTTTTCCCCAAAGTGTTATTTGTTGGCTTCCTAATAATGAAGGACTGATATTCAGTTGAATATTAATTAATTAAGTAATTGATTTATAATTTTATGCTATTCTCACCAGTCTTGTCGCTAAACTTTATAGAATATCGGTCTATTTGCTTGCCATTGTTCAAAATTAATGGAGACTTCGTAATAAATGCCCAATTAGTAAAAATTTTTGTTGATATAACGAAAAAGGATATCTAAAAAGAATATTCTTACATTATTTAAAATATCGTCAACTTTACCATAAAGAGTTACATTTAATCCTCGTGAAGGTAGGGTTTTAATGAAAAAACGATCATAGTGAAATTTATAGTCGATCATATACTAAAAAAAGAAACAAGTAATTAAAACATATTATTTACTAAGGGCGATCAACCAAGAAAGTACTAACCGAATTATCTTGATAATTAAATTTATTTTTTCTGAAATATCTGGATTTCAAATTCCCCCCCTTTAGGCATGCAAAAGAACGTCATTTTATTTATATCGAATTTTTTTTAAAATATGTCAATCATTGCGTACCTTACAAAGTTCACTCATTGGTAGACAAAACAAAACCGTCAAATCTCCGTAATGAAGAATAATTTCATCATGAATTGTATCTTCAATATCAATATACGGCCAATGAATTCCCAAAAAGTCTCCCTGTTAAAATATTTGTCAGTAAGATTGAATTAAAAAGCATATGATATAAAAAACACTTACCGTTTTGAATAATGTGGTCATGCGTATTTTATCGTCCAATAAAACCAAGTTGGCGCATTGTGAACTTGACATGTCACGCACGTAAACACATACTTTATTACAAAAACCCGGTAAATCTGCAGGCTCTTTAGCTCCGATATGCACCACCTTTTATTTAATTATCATTGATGTTAAATACATTCATTGTTAAAAATGGTTATATAATATAGTATACACACCCTTGTCCAAAACTGATAACCTCTTCCATTCTTAATATCAGTTGATGAAACATCGGCAATTGAATCAGTAAACAATGAATCTACCAAAATTTCTTCAGAGGGATTTAACACTGTTATAATGTTTGAAGTATGTAGAAAAGTTAAATTTGATGCCGTTTTTGACAAAGACGCGCGATTAAATCTGATTTGGCGATATTTCTAATAAAGATTAGTGATCAAATTAATTAACTTTTATGATCTAAATTGTATATTAATAATTATGATGATAATAAAATTGCATTCCTACTTTATCAAATAAATTCGGATAATACCCTCCATCTATAAACCGACAAAGTCTAGGAGGGACAAACATGTCAACTGTTGATCTATTATCTGAATATTCGGATAAAATGAATTTATGTATATAAAGTATAGGTGAATATATTCTGTTGATGATTCGAATAAAATTACGATAAATATTTATGCGAATAGGATATGAATTGAATTTTCTAAGTTGATATGTTTAATATTTTTGACTATTAATTCGTAATCCCGAATCTTTGTGTTAATGCGAGGAGAAAGGGTAGAAAGAGGAGAAAAACCTAACATTCATGCATAAAACTTTTTTAAATAAATAATACATTTGAATTAAGAAAATGGAAAAACATAACTAACTTTTAGGTACACCCTTTCGATAAGTTACGCTCGTCTCTTGCCACTTTGGAAAAAAAAGAATTAGAATTAGAAAATTGAATTAATTAGAATTTAATGTTTTAAACAAATACCTCAGAAAGCAACTGGTTTAGGATAACAGGCTCAGTTAGTCCATGCGGAGTATGTATTAGCATTTCTGCAACTCTAGCACATACCCAACCCCTTTTATTAAATAATTTTTATTTAGGAGATATAAGTTATAAAATCAATGAATAAAAAATAACTTACCAAGATAAAGGTTCAGCTTCAGGATCTACGGCTTGGAGGTCTAAATCTTCATTTTCTCTATATTCATTTTCTTTATTTTCTTCGCTTCTTTTAACGCGCTTCGTTTGGCAAATTGTAAGAATATGTGAACTAATGGTATCGCGGTAACGTTGAATTAAATTCTCAAAATCCATGTTAAAGTTTCCAATTATAATTTTCTAATTGGAACTTTATATTTTTGAACGAATAAATAGCATTGTGTCGTCCAATCACGATTTTATGACATGATACGCGTCTACAAGTTTACGCGATTCACCAATAACCTTTATATAGTACGATCTACCTATCTGTTATTACAGTAAAAAATTATTACTGCATCGGTATATATTTCGTTATACGTAATATATTTGTTACTGCAACAATTAATACTACGTATTACATAATACAGCAGAAATATTATACAGCAATAATATTAACATATCAGGTATATTAATTATTACTCATTAATAATGAAATAAAATTTTTTTAAAGTATTTATTGAAATAACATTATATAAGAGAAGTTACCGATATGATAATAATAAAAGTAGAAGTGCTATTACACTTTACGTATATGATATGAAGGGATTTACCATCCCATTAGTTACAAGGCTTAGAGGTAATAGGAAAAAAACAAATTATAACAACTACACTTATAAATATATAATTAATAAAAAAAAATCTAAAACTACCAGCGTTAAAATATAACTAACTCTTTTGAAAATGAGCATTGGAGTGCGGTAAAGTAATATAATATATATATTTTTTTTCATTTTTGCTTAAACGAGAAAAAAAATCCCAACCGATCGTTTATGGTAGTCACAAGCCCATAATAAATATCCAAATAAGTAAAAAAGGAGATTCTATCAAAACAAGAGATGCTAAAATTAAGTTTCTGAATACATTTATTTGTTATTAAACGAGAATCCTTTTTTCTTTGCCTTTTCGGGGGTAATCGGTCTACCCGTCTCCAATCGTTTCTTTTTTTCTTCTAATTCTAGACGTTGTTTCTCCAGGGCATCCTTCATCTCCTTGTGACGAGCATATAATTCTTCTTCGGATTGTTTCAATTTAGCCTCTTTCTCCTGGACTTTTTGCTGGAATACCATTTTCATTTCTGCCTCCATCTTTTGTAGCTTAGCCTCATGAAGTGCTCGTTCTTCTTCCATCTTGGCAAGTGGATTTACCTCCTTGAAAACGGTTTGATCTTGTTGTACACCCATGGTGACAAGTTTTTCGGATCGATAATTCTCGTAGAGTACATCATTAGTGTGTTCCTTAAGTTCTTCCATATGAGTTCTAAAAAAAAAAAAAAAAAAAAAAAGAAAGATAAATTTAGCTTTATTTATTAGCAAAATATGACAATAAAAATATTATAAAACAAACCGAATGAGCATTTGTCGAAGTTTTACAAAGTCATTGTGCTCTTCGTTATCGACTTCAATGACACCCCATGGGTATTTGCGTCCACGCACGCGACGTCCGTCAGGAAGTTCGACTTCCTTGTCACTACCGACAATGGCAAATGGAATCTTGCTCTATTATAATTTAATATATATAATAAAAAAAAGAATAATGTAAAAAATTCGCGTATGATAATAATAATCGAAGCATATCGTATTATATAATTATATAAAACATACTATTATTTCACGGTTTTCGGCTAAAGTTTCTTGATCATCATATTCATATTGTGGTGCTTGGTAGATTTGAATCTTATGATAAGCAATATCGTCTAGAATACGTTGCTTAAATTGTTTGATTTCATCTTCAGTCAACGTATCTGACTTTGCAATTACTGGAATGAGATTGACTTTGGTATGCAGCCGTCGCATGAATTCAACATCCAAAGGTTTGAGCCTAAGAAAAAAATATAAACAAATAATTCACATCATTTGTTCCATTATTCAATAGTCCTAATGTTTATACTTACGAATGACCGGTAGGAGCAATGAAATAAATGCAAGCATGGACGCGATTATCAACCATCTTACGACGATTCACACGGTTTTCTTGTTCGAGGTATGCATCAAAACGGGCTTCGATATTTTCAAGAATTGGTTTCCAGCTAATAATAATAATAATAAAGACCGGTATAGATGAGAATTGAATAGTAGTTTCTACAAAATGTTATATTATTACATTACCTTTCTTCGTTGTTAACAAAATCACCAAATCCAGGAGTATCAACGACTGTGAGCCTTAATTTAACACCATTTTCTTCAATGTCTAGATAAAATTATTACTGTAAGAAAAAACTCTAATAATTAAAGTTATAAGACAATTTAATAAAATATAAACATAGAAAAGTAACCTGCACTTAGAGATTGGATTTCTACAGTTTTTGGTGTTTCATCTGATGGTTCTGCTTCACCTTTATTGGGGTAAAGTGTAGTGCCGAACAAAGTATTGACTAGAGTTGATTTTCCTAGACCGGATTCACCTAAGAAAAGTGTTTACTAATATCAGATAAAATTTGATATTATAGTGAAAAAGATATTTACTATAATGATGACAAACCAACTATCATAACCGTGAAATGGAATCCTTTTTTCACGGATTTCCTATGCACTTGGTTTGGAAGGTTGGCAAATCCTACATATCCTTGAAGTTTTTTTCGAATAACGGCACTAATGGCCGTCTACATAATTGAAGGTCGGATAGAGTCACGTTAAAAACTGTCAGGAAACTTTGAACGATTTCAACGTTCGTAAAATACTATTTTTGGCTTTTACTTATAGTATACAAAATACAACAAAATCAACACATACTTTTAGACCCGAGTTCGGAGCACTTGCAGGACTATCTGTTTGCAATAAGACGAAAAAAAAATTGCAAATTAATTAAAATAAATAGATTGAGACGAAATATCTTGAGACTAAACGTTATAGCGTCGTGGGAAACAAAAAAGACAAGTGACAAATTACTCAATCTAACATTTTTTTCTAAATTATGTTAGTTTGTAGGGAAGTAAACAAAAATTGGTTTTAAACAAAGATGAACCAGATGACAAAATAGACTTTTTAAAGAAAAGCTAACACAATAGTTTGATAAAGTAATAACAAGAACACGAGATAAAAAGGTTCGTTTTCAAGGATTTACATATTGAAAGCTTAGATTCTGAAATATAGTTGCATCGAAAAAATAAAATTACGACACGTACCAGACATTATTTGTGAAGACTATGTTAATGGGTGGTTAGGAATTAATACGGAAAGGAGAATAAGGAAGCGTGGAAATATTAGATTAACTTTATTCTTAATCTATTGAAGGAGTGTATGGAGTTGGCGAAAAGACACACAACAACAATGGAAACAGCACAGGTAGTTTTTCTGCAAAGGGGCTAAAAAAAGGTTTGAAATTTTTTTGAGGGTGAGTTTGGAGGCAAGAATTTGGTTAGACATGGTTGGGTTGGCCAGAATATCGAAGTTACAGATTGCACAAGCAGGCCACAAAAAGTAAATATGTGTTCCCACATCATATAAATAGTACCTTTGGAATTAAATGAAACCAATCAATTAAACCAGTTTGTCTGATGTTTGCTTAGTTTCCAGTGATCAAACTGTATGGGTTACAAGATGTCGTTAAAAAAAAATTGTAATAGTATAATGCATACAGTAATGTTTGCGTACGACACACTTATTATAAACTTTAATATAAAAATATTTTACGTATGTATGTACACGACGTAGCTGCTTTTATCGTAGTCGCACCAATCATCTTTTTCTATCGACTTGCATTGCATTCCCCTTGAATATATTATAAAAAGTTGTTATACAATCTTCGACAGACATATATTTTTGTATTTTTGTGAATTCAATCAAGACTTAAAAAGTATTTTAATATTAAAAACTTTCATCTCGTTCAATTAACAAATTTTTTTAACAAATTTCCGTTGTAAAAAAGAGGAATTTTATAAATATAATTATAGAATAATTTTATATTTTTCTTCTTTTGGTACTCTATTAATAACTGCCCTCCCATCGTAAGACAATGAACAAAATACCCATGGGTCACAAGTGCTCCAAGCAACTGCGTACACGCTATCTTCATGTTGATCGTAAGCTCTCACTAGTCCATCAGTTGGCTTTCTATTTTTTATAATTGCATGATAATTGAATAAAAAGATTAATTATTTAATAAACCAAATATATACACTGTATATAAGCTATAAAAACTATAATACTATACCCTAATTGATCATGGTAATCATATTCTGATCCATCGTCATTTTCGCGTTCATCATATTGAAACGCGCCAGAAGAAATAGAGACAATACTTTGAAGATTTACTTGACAATCAGAGCTCGAACTTAAAAAAAGCTGATCGTGAAATCGATTATACGCGATGGCCCACACCCTGATATAAAAAAAGAAAAAAGTAGGTTGTACCATTTAAAGGTTAATTGAATGGTTAACTGAATGGTAAATGATGACTGATAAATATGATTAATAATCAATTGTTACCAATGCGTATGGTCAGAAATTTGTTTAAGACTATTTGTAGTATTTCTAAGATCCCAAAATCTGATCTTACAATCGTCACCTGCTGATGCAATTTGATATGGCTTATTCGGATTGTAATCTAACGCACGAACAAGTACAGAATGTGCACCATTGATGTTGAACGTTTGACTTAAAAAAAAATAATTTTGAATAATGTCGATTATTAAACTTGGTAGTTATTGTGATTGTTATATATTAATATTTGTTATTGAGATTTTTATTGCTCTTCATGCGACGAACTACATTTACCTACCTTTGTGATCGTAGGTCCAAACCTTGCACAGAACATTCCTTACCAATGGCAACTTCTGGTTGATGTGGATTCCATACTCCAGTTGTTAATGGAGGTAAAGATTCATTTGTTGAAGAGAAATCAACTGTGTGAGAGGTCTGTATGTTTAATCGGACGCGTTTAAATAAATTATGATTGAATAATTTTTAAAATACGGTAACTCCTTTTTGATACCTTTGCTGACGTCATCTGTTCGTCAAACTCCCAAATACGCAATGAAGAGTCATGAATAGACACGAATTTTGTCAGATCTTTCTTGGGATCCCACAAAACTCTATAAGAGACGTAATAAATTAATAACTCAATATGGAGAATCTTGTGAGCTGATATCATATCCTTACTTTTTAATCGTATCGTCCTCTTTGACTTCAAAAATACATTCCAATGGCAAATGCGATGCGCTTCTCAGAGGACGAGGTCTTTTTTCAAAGTCTTCCGAAATCACATCTGAATTGTTCATTCGCCATAATTTAGCCTTTGTGTGGGATGATATTGAATCAACTTTATGAAACAAAGAATAAAATATCAGCTACATGTCACTAATTACTGACACAAAAAATAAAAGACTTTTATGAACTAACATTTTTTATAACACGTAAAAAAAAGATCACTTTTCGCGGGACATGCAGCAATGTCCCACACTTCTTCCGAATGCTGATAAATTGTACTGGTTATTTCGAACTCGTCTTCATGAAAGTTAATTAGGTGAATCTAACTGTCAAAACAAAAGAATTTAATGCTTAATTATACAAAATTAAAATACATAATTTTATGAAAAAAATAGGGGACAAACCTCATTATCACGTTTAAGAGTTTGAGATCCTACAAGAAATTTATTCTGTTCTGTTTCAGCAGTAACCGCTGTAAGGCACCTTGCCTATGCATAACAGAGGTAGTTTATGCATTAACATCATGTACATTTGTAAAGTTATCAGATCAGAGAAATGAACAAAGAAAAGTACTTGGTGTCTCAGTCCATAAACGCAAGATCTCCCCTCATTGTCCATTATATAATAAAACAAAAAACTTCGTTCATCTGTTCTGTCAAATGAAATATATCTAAAAAAAACAACCAATTAAAATTATCTGCATTATCCGCATTATCTTTTTCTACTTTCGGAATCATAAAAAAAAAAAATCAGTTTACCAAAATTCTGGTTAATTAAAAAAAAAAATGTATGTTCATAGATGTCGGTTCGTTGAATATACACCCACGGCAATCAACGCCTTGGCTTTTACACCATTATCGACCCAGCCTCTTCTCGCGTGCGGTCGAGCCAATGGTGAAATTGAAATATGGAATCCTACACAACGTTGGAATTTAGAAAAGGTATTTTTTTTTAAAAAAATAAACTGTCATTATACAATTCCTACGCGTCTTTTTAACCTATCCTGACTAACAGGTTTTTTCGATTTTCAAAGATAATTCCTGGTGCAAAAAACACGTCCGTTGAAGCTTTAACTTGGGTACATCGGACCATTCTAAAAGAATCAGATAGTTGTTACTCTCAAACTAAAGAAGAACAAGAAGAATTTTTAAAGGTTTTATTGAACAAACCTCCTAGGCTATTTTCTGCAAGTTCAAATGGGTTAATCACAGAATGGGATACAACATTATTGAGAACCAAGGTCATTATCATTATTATTATTATTATTCGTTGAATTCGCGTTTAAGCCATTGCGTCAGAGATAATCATGTTATAATCGATAATAATAACGATAATAACAATAGTATTCCACCAATTCGTACGGAGGAGCTGTTTGGTGTATGTCGACAAATAATGCAAATACATTACTTGCTGTTGGTTGTGATGATGGCGGGTTACGTATTTTTGATATTAATGATGATGGACTAATTCTAATTAAAAACCTCATGAGAAACGATGCCAAAGTTATGGCATTGGCTTGGGATAATGATGACAAATTTATTGTGTCTGGCTCATCTGATAGTAATATCATTAAATGGGACGTTCATAATGGTGAGAATTTTAGTGAAATAATCTTTGTATGCTTTTATCTAAACTTATGTTTTCTCATTTAATCTGAACAAAGTGCGAATAACGCAAAGGATGACTGTAGATATGAAACATGGAAAGGATAATATAGTTTGGACGATAATGATCCTTAAGTGAGCATAGTAAATATTCCTTGTATCAAATATAATTACAATTTATTCCTGCTTATATATATATATATATTTGTCTTGCATTTTGGGATCGATATGATCCCAGAGATGGCACAATCGTTAGTGGTGATTCATTAGGACATGTTTGTTTTTGGGATGGTAATCTTGGCACTATGCTACAGAAATTTAAAGCACATAATGCAGATGTGCTATGCTTGGCGTCGAATAAAGTAATAAATTTACCATTATTTTTGGTTGCGGAATAGTCTAATTGATTCGATTGATATTCTGACCTTTTTTTTTTTGCATCTTCAATAGGAAGGCACTATGGTTTTTTCATCTGGAGTAGATCGTAAATGCAATTCATTTCGTATAGCCGATTATTTCACCACACAATCATCTAATGATGATTTCAGTGAAAATAATTGGGTTTTGGTGGGATTTCGTAGAACACATTTGCATGATGTGAGAGCAATGGCATTAAGGGAGGATTTAACCGATAAATTTTTTGTTTCTGGAGGTTAGTATTAAATAAATCCGTTTTTATGATTCACTTTTTCGAATTAATATAACAAATAATTTTTTTCTAGGCGTGGACGCTTCAATTTTAGTTTCATATTTTGATGGCTTTCCCGAAGATAAACTCCAACGATTACCTTTTATTCCTCAAAAACCTTTGATTAGTATTTCAAAATCAAAAAAACTTTTGATGTATCGAAGTTATAATCAAATAAAGATATGGAGATTGGGTAATGGTAAGGATCTAATGTAGATAAAAGCATTTCAATGATATCAATACTATCTTATCTAAATGCTTTACATCACGCATCAGCCAAATTGCCGGATTCTTGGAAATTTGAACAGATTCCAAACTTGGATTTAATAGAACCGCAACAGGCAATTTTGGAAATGACCTTGAAGGTAAAAAACGAATACAGTAGTTTGTAGAATACGAACTGATGTTGCAAGAAATTACATTCCTTTTTTTTTTTTTTAATTTGTAGGGTAATTATAATCTCATGGCAAGTGCACTATCAGAAGATGGTGAATGGATTGCAGTATCTGATATAGAAACAATAAAAGTGTTCAAAGTCCAAAATGATGTATGTTATTGTTTTATTTTATGTCAAATTCAAAGAAATATTAATATCATTTTTTCTGATTCGTATATTTCTAAATTGAACTTTTAGCCCTCAAATCCTGACCGTATCTGTGTTAAAAAAGTCAAATTCCCAAAAATATCGGTGAATGGAAATTCTGCAGGAGCACATCACCTCATATTCACTTTGGACGGAAAAAAACTTGTGATAGTTAATATTGACTCTTCCATTACAATCGCTGAACTTAACGATTGCCAGCATAAAGAAATTAGAATACTTCATCAATTTTATGAACATGCTCAACCACTTGATGGAAACACATCGATTGTCACCTCTATTGTCACCTCTATAGCTGTGAGTGGTGATAGTCGATGGCTTGCTGTAGGTGATCTTTTAAATAGAATTAATGTATATAATTTAGAAACTTTTGAGGTAAATTTTACTATAACTTATATTTCTGCTTTATTTAATAATATTATGCATTTATAACAATTTTTTTTTAAATTAATCGTTTATCATCATTCAGCTTCATTCAACACTTCCAAAATTCTCTTCAACTCATACGGCATTGGCTTTTTATCCATCAAAACCTACTCTTGTGATTACTTTATCTTCCAACGAATTTTTCCTTTATGATATTGAATCACAAGAGATCGATGATTGGTCACTAACGTATTCCAAAAGTCTACCAAAAACATTTCTAAATTTAGAAAATAGACTTGTTGGCTGTGCGTTTAATCCTATAAATAGTGATACGATTATACTTTGGGGTGCTAATTATCTTTGTCTTATTGATTTTGATAAATGTCGTAAAGATAAGGGGCATCAACCACATTTGGCTACGTGTACAGGATGGCGGGAAAACTTGAAATATAAAGCAATTGAACAAGCACCAAAACAGAATGGTCTAACGAAAAAGAGAAAAAGAGACAAACCCGAAAAAAATATAAAAAGGGCCAAAACTGACAAAAAAATAATTAATTTTCAACTTGTCTTTAGATATCGCTCATTAATGTATGTTGATTTTATTGAACCAAATACTATGATAGTTGTAGAGAGGCCATTCGCCGCTATTTTGGAGAATTTGCCACCTTCATTTTACAAAGCTCAATATGGCTCTTGATTTAATAAAACTTTTTATTTATTAAAATATCTTTTCTAATGAGGGATAACTTGTTAGCAAAATATGTTAAACATTCAACGAGACACCGAAACACCGAAACACCATATGTATTACTAATAGTTAACAATAAATAACGATATTGATCTTCCAATGAAGCGTGGATCACGATTATTTATTATATATTTATTATACGTATGTACGCACCGAGACTATGTGAATTATGCATTTTATGTCTATATGTGTATGTGCGTAACATAAATATAATTGGTCGGCATCTTTCATTGCCAGTTTACAATTTTAGTGAATAGTTTTCGGCTCATCCATCCAATGTATAAATTCGGTAAATAACTTTGGTAAAGATTTGGACAGTAAAACTGAAACATTTTCCATAAAAATAAAAAGAACAAAAGAACGAAAGAATATGAACTTTATCACTTGCCAAAATCTCATCAGTTTAAGCTTTAAAAACTTTAATCTATTGGTTGTTTTTTTAACTACTCACATCATATTGTCTTATACGCTTATATCAGATATTAACTATGATCATCATTGATTGACCGAGTTAATTCACGTGATTTTACATATAAATTATATTTTAACATCTTCGAGATTGTATTTGTTTGCATTTGTTTGCATTTATTTGCATTGCCTAACTTTAATAAATTTGGGAAATAAATTAATGTATGACTTGTACATTACTCGGTTTTTTTTTATTATAGTACATTTTTATTACTAACAATATTATTGATAGAAATTTTTTGTGCTTTATCATTTTCAACGTACAGTATATGCTTTTATTTATATATATTCGGATTGCAATGTTGTTACTTAACTGCAGGCATACCATCAGAAAGCAGTTTTTCATCAACTTGCCTCTCTCTCCTGTTAGACAAGAGAGCCGGTTTAGATATCTCTCCTCAATACAATAGCACTTGATGTGCGTTGAAAAAAGTTGACCCCCAAAATATAAAAAAAAAAAAAATAAATAAAAATTTAATTTTCACATAGATAACTTTTCTCACCCCTCCCTTATTTTCTGCCCCGAAAAAATTTTGTAGCCCTCGTCTTACCGTAAATTTTACCAACTCGGTAAATTTGACACTTTTATGTCTTTCTCTGCTCACCATACACCAAAGTCTTCTCAAGGGAGTGAAGGGGACATTTTCTTTGAAGCAACTCCAGAAGTTAGCACCATAAATGGTAATATGAATCAAAAAAACCAGTCTGAAGACTCTAATGTAGACCAATTTAATGTAAACAAAAATGAATTTAGACAGAGGGATAGAGTACATGATCATTCAAAGTCTATCGATTCTGTAATTTCTCCAATGCAATCAGTTTATATGACACCCCAAGACTCTACTTGTAATTTATTGATAAACGCAATAAAACAGGCTGCAATGACTAATCATATAGACCCGAGATTACGGCCAGATGATACAACTACTTCACCTACTACAACCCCATTTTTTACGACTCCTTCAACGCCCTTCGGTCCTGGTAGACAAACCATGGATTTTAGCAATGTTAATGAATTTAATTTTACATCAAATACTTCAAAATCTATAATGAATAGGCAAGTTAGTGCTGCGGCTGTATCAGCTAAAATAAGAGAATTCGAATCGTTAATAAAAAAAACTACTTCACAAACAAATTTAAAACCAATAATGGAAACTTCTGAATCTCCAAAATATAGTCCTACTCCAAAATCTTCTGGATCTCCAAGATATCATCATACTGTTGAACCTTCTTCAGGTACAAATACTTATGTAGCAGACTCTTATGATCATATAGAAATTGAAAAAGATACTATAACATCATCGGGAACACCATCAGGTGGTTCACCGATAGAACAAATAAATGTGAATAATCATTTTCCAGGAAAATCTGCTGATGATAGATGGTTCACATCATCAGAAATTACTGAAGATGATCGTATAAATAAAGACAATCATATAAGTTTAACTTTGAATACAAATTCTTATAATAAAAGAGATTTATCAAGAGATGTAATCATGGAAGAAACAACAGATAATGGAAGGGAAATAAATAGAGAAGAAAATTATAGAAGAATATCAAAAGTATCTTATGTAACAAGAGGTGATACAACTTCTAAAAGTGATAGCACTACTGAAGTCGGTGGAATAGATTCACCGATTTCTTCAAAAAGAGTTTCTGAAAAAGATGTCTTTTCCCCTATTTCATCAAAAACATCTTCAAAAAGAATATCTAAAGAATCAACCGTACTATATCTTAATATCCGTGATAAATTTCTATTATTAACCGGGTAAGTTATTATTATAATAATAATTATTATTATTCATTTTCATTAAATAAATTTAGTTTAACTAACGCTAATTTAAAAATGTGATATAGGTTATCGTTGGCATTCTTTTTAGTAATCTTTGACATAACTATGGTAGCAAATCAAATTCCTAAAATCATTACCGATTTTAAGGCAGGTGAATATATACCGTGGATAATTACTTCTTATAACATAGCAAGTGTAAGCATTAATTAAGATTTAATAAAATGTTAAGTTATAATATAATATACTGTCTATTGAAATTACGTATTTGTTTTTTTGTTTTAATTATTTTAATTATTATAAAGGTGATATTACAACCTATATGCGATAAATATTCAAATATTTTTGGAAGAAAATTATTATCACTCGTTGCAATATTCATTTTTGGTTCTGGTTCGGTATTAAGTGGAGCCGCACAAAATATTCAATGGTTAATCTGTGCAAGAGCTCTAGTGGGATTAGGAAGTGGAATTATCATACCAATGACATTTACCATTATATCGGATGTCGTTCCTGCTCTTCAACGTAATCCTTTCAATAATTCTATCAACTTTGCTTTCGCTTTTGGATTGATTTTAGGCCCAGTTATTGGTGGTCTATTCGCTGACTATTTATCTTGGAGGTGGTCATTTTATGTAAATGGTGCATTGTCAATTATTCCCATAATATCAATATGGTTTGTTACAATACTTTATGCTCCAATGGATCCAGTATTCGCCAAGTTAAAATTTGTAGATTGGCTAGGATTTATCCTGCTGGCGTCGGGATTTTTATTTCTTCTTTTACCGATAAATTATGGAGGTGTCCAATTAGATTGGTTGAGCCCTCCTATTTTCATAATGCTTGCGATAGGGTTTATTTTACTGATAGTCTTTATCATCGTCGAGGTAAAACATGCTGAAGAGCCACTTTTACCTAAACACTTATTTATTAATTCTTGTCATCGAGCCGTATTTGGTGCTTTCTTTTCCTTGGGGTGGATTCAAGCCGTTATCATCTACTACTCTCCTGTATACTTTCAGTACGTACAGGGTTTGACTCCAACATCATCCGCTATAGCTCTTTTACCATTAGTGGCTAGCATTGTAGTATTTTTAGGATTAAGTGATTCACTCGTAAATTTTGCTGGCTATTATCGGTGGATTATATTCTGTGGCTCATTGGTTACAATAGCGGGAAGTGCTTTGTTATCAACTTTTAATTTGTATACGGGAGATGTATTTAGAATTATATCTCTTGTAGTAATTGGAATCGGAATTGGATCACTTTCAAGGATCTTATTTAGACCTGCACAAATGGCTGTGAAAGATCGTGAAAAAAATGCCGTAAACGAATTATGTAATTTTTTCAGAGCAAGTGGATGGGTCTTTGGTGTATCAATTTCTGGAGCTATCTTTAATAACAAAATAATATATGATTTTTCCAATATTCCAAATTTTCCGATAAAATCATCATTAAATGATGCCCTTTTACTGACAAACATAGGAAAACTTTCATCCAATGATCAAAATCTTATATTATCTTCAATCAGTGATGCAATCACTATTAATTTCAGAATTTGTATTTTCATGGCTGTTATTGGATTAGTATTTTCCTTATTTATAAAACATTATAAAATGAGAGGTGTTAAACAAAATGAGCAAGATGAATCAGGTGCTAATAATGTTGAAATACTAAATGAAAAGGTATGAATACATAGCAAAAAAAAAAAAAAAAATCACATGGAAAGCTATTTTTCTGTGGCATTATGTAATTAATTTTATTATTGATTGACGTTATTTAATAATTATTATATTTAATTTCCAAACCAATTACTGTACTTTTATTTACTTTTTCCACATTTGTATTCTTTCGTTAGCAATATTTTAATTACTTATAAATAATTCGATCTCGTGAAGACAAAAAAAAAACAACTTGTAGCAATAGACATTTAAATATCCTTATTAATAAAAAATAAGAATGAAACCACAAAAAATATTAGCCACACCTATTAATGCTTTGCCGTAATTCAACTTTATTTAAGATTTTCTTTGCTTTACTATTTAGCGCGGTATATAATTAGAGTTTGGACCAGTTTTATTAAACCCAAATTTAATTGGTTTCTATATATGAAAAATAACCCGGATCCAAGAAGATTGGATGTTTTTCACGACCAGTCGGACATAATGCTAATTTTTGAATGGAATCGACCAGGGTGGGTGACCAAAGAATTATTATAGCACTCATGTTATATCAACTCCTAAGGTGTGTCATAGGCAGTGTAAAAAATTCAGGTTGAGAAGTATGTGCGCATTCATATGATCACATGCTTTCTTCATATTAAAAATAAGAAAATTTTATGTGAGATCCGCACATGCGCACATCGAATTTTTTACACTGATCATAGGGTCGTAAGCAAAACTTACGTTTTTGATACTCCTGCACTTACTTTTTTGATACTGATCGACATGCAGATCCCGGTAAAAATAAAAAATTTAAAATTTTTGAGCGAAGATATCTCGACACCTACTGGCTTGAATATGATAAAACTTTCAATTTGAATTCTGGGGATTATAGAATTCAAATAAAAAAAAAATTAATCGAATTTAACCATGTGGTTGTCAAGATAGCTTCGCTCAAAGTTAGAGAAAAATCAAAATGACCAAAATAAAAGCTGTGCCAAATTTCTCTCTAACTTTGAGCGAAGATATCTCAATAACCATCTGACCAAATTTGATAAAACTTCTTTTATTTGAAACTTACGGATTCATAGAATTCAAATAAAAATTTTTAACAAATTTAGTCAAGTGGTTATCAAGATATCTTAGAGAAAAATCAAAATATCTATCAAAATAGAAGTTATGTTAAATTTTCTTTCTAACTTCAAGCAAAGATATCTCAATAACTACCTAACAAAATTCGATAAACCTTTTTTTATTTGAATTCTATGGATTCATAGAATTCAGATAAAAAAAATTTTTATTATATTTAATCAAGTAGTTGTTGAGATATCTTCGCTCAAATAAAAACGCAAAATATATACCTATATAGTCAACTCTCTTTAAACCAAACAGCAGGTTCTTATATGTAAAAATATTTAAAAGTTCAGTTTACAAAGAGTTATTATGTTGCTAATCCGAACTTAATAATAAATTTTACAAATGTTCTGAAGCTTTATGTTCAGTTTTCACAGAGTTTATTAAGTGTTCAGTTTATCTAGATTCAGTTTAAAGAGAGTTGACTGTACTAAATTTTTTTCTAACTTTGAGTGATACCCACTTAACTAAATGCAATGAATTTTTTTTATTTAAATTTTATGAATTCATAGAATTGAAAGAAAAAAAGTTTTGTTGAATTTGAACAGACCATTATTGTAATATCTTCACTCAAAGTTAGAGAGAAAATTTCTATTTTAATAGATATTTTATTTTTCTCTAATTTTGAATAAAGATACCTTGATAGCTACTTGACTAAATTTGATGAAAATTTTTTTATTTGAATTTTATGGATCTATAAAATTCAAATAAAAAAGATTTTACTGAATTTGGTCAGATGACTATCGAGATAACTTCACTCAAAGTTAAAAAGAAATTTGATATATTTTCTATAGTACAAAAGGAACTTGAAAACAAAGGTGTTAAGGTTAGTGCAAGAACAGTTAGGTGGTGCCTAATTGAGGCTGGAGGAAAATTTGGATGTGGACTTTCAAAATCATTGCTTAGTGAAAAACACCGTGTGAATCATCTTAAGTGGGCTGAAAATCACAAAGATTTTAATTGAGACTATGTGATTTTTACTGATAAAAATACCTTCTCATTATTTCAATACAAAAGGAAAGTGTGGCAGTTTATTGAACACCGAAAAGTATTTCGTACTGTCAAGCATCCTCAGAAAGTGCATGTTTGGGGCTGTTTTTGTTCACAAGAATTTGGAGAACTAGTATGGTTCACAAAGAATCTCAATGGTGCTTTTATATATGAAATATATGAAAAAGGTTTATTACCTTCTGCACGAAAGTATTTTGGTGAAGATCATAAGTGATAGATCCTTCAAGAGGATAATGATCTGAAACATCACTCAAAAATTTGCAAAAAATGGAAGGTTGATAACAAAATTAAAGTTCTTTCCTGGCTATTGATGTCACCAGATCAAACCCCAATCAAAAATATGTGGTGACTAATGAAAATGAAAATACAAAAAAAAAAAAAATCAAAATACAGTAGTTAAAGGTTTGAAAAGTGAATTAACAAAAGAATGGGGCCAACTTTCAAATGAGCTTGCTGCTAATTTGGTAGGTAGTATGTGTAATCAAGTTTTAAAGTTAATTGAGACAAATAAGGATTTTACAATATATTAAAATTTATATTATATCTATACTTTAAAAATAAAAAAAAAATTTTGCCATTGTATTGAAGTGTTAATCAGACATGTAGGGGTAGTAGTCTTGTGACTAGTACTGTAATAAAAAAATTTTTTATTAACTGCTTTACAAAATATTTTATTAAAAATATTTGCAAAGCCAAAACTATTGCCATATAGTCCTCTTAACAATAAAACTATAATTGGTCATACTTTTTTGATTAGAATTTTACTTGGCTTTATTTTAATAATAAACTTAAAAGTTCTAATAATTTTACTAACTTCAAGTTTAACTATTTCAAATTTTTTAAAGTTAAAATACTTTTTAATAACTTACTTATATATTTTTATTTTTACTCTATTATATCTAGTAAATTTTTTTTCTTCTACTACTTTTAATACAACTTTTTTGACTTAGTCTTATACTAGTATATATGCTCTAATACTAGCTTTTTACTTTATATAATAGTATAATCAACTTTTTAATCTTTAAAACTATTTTTAAATTCAATTTTATTTTTTTTTATATAAACTTAATTATTTACAATACACTATCTTATTTTATTTTTTATTTTCTTTATAACTCTTCTTTTTATATTCATACTCTTTTTATTCTACTCTTAAAGATTTTATTTTTTTTTTACTTATACAATCTATTTTCTTATTTAATCTATTATACTTGCTTCTTAATTAATTATCCAAATTCTTTTTGATATTTTTAATAAACTTTATAATCAAATATAAAAAACCTATTGTGTTAATTTTTTTTAAAAAAAAAAGCTTATTAAATCTTTTTTAACTTCCTTTTTATACAACCTTCTTAACTTTTTTCTTGCTATTATACTAGATATAAATACTTATTTACTTATAACTGTCTATACAATTACCTAACCAATTATACTCTAACTCTAATACTTGCCTACTTGCTAAGCTTACTAACTATAAATTTGATATATAGTTAACTAAATAAATCTATTTAGTACTTCTACTAATTATATTTTATTTATTTAAATTTAAATAAGTCTTAACCACTCTAGTAAGTTTAGATTACAAATAAGTTAGTCTGAACTTTTATTCTTGCATGTAGTTTATATTTATTTATTTATATATAAATTAAGTTTTTATATAGTTAGTTCTATATTATTACTTATATAAATTACTTAATAAAGATATAAGCAAGGCATTATTTTTAAAATCAAAAAAATAAAAATAAAAATAAATCTTAATTATTTCAATAACTAGTAATTAATCTAATAATTTTTTTTTATAAAAAAATCTCATCTCTATTAAATAAAAAAAAGGTTTATTTAATTTGAATCAATAGTTTTAAAAAAATTAATAAAAAAAATTAATATTTGAAATTTTTATTTTTGTTAATTTTTTAATCAACTATTAATCAAAACTGTTTTAAATTTTTATATTATATAAAAAATATTTCTACTATAATACAGTATATTAAAATTTGATCAAATTTGAATCAATAAATATTAAAATATTTTTAAAAACATAGTCACTTACCAAATTTTTTAAAACTCTAAAAACAGAATTAAATAACTTGTTAATTATGCAAGTATATAGTTTAAAATTAATATTATATGATTTTAGAGATATAGATTTAGATAAATAAATCAAGACCAAAATTAATAAATAAGTTTTTGAATTATAAACCAAGCTCTTAGGTAAAATTATTTTTGTCACTACCTGTATAGCAATAATTTTTAATTATTCAGAAAATATATTCTTTGTCAAAAAAATTATTACTATACTAATATAATGTTATTTCATATTATTATATATACTACTGAATATTATATAAGTATTGTATATATATTCAAAATTGGAATAATCTGGTTTGGCATACCAGAGTTGAATTCTGTTTGACAAATACATTTTACATTAGTTACAATTTATGTGCAAGATAGAATATGTTTCTGAAATAGAAATTTTACAATTTTTATAATAGTTATTATAGTTTTATCTGGTTCTGGTCAACTCAAACAATTACTTTGAAGACATAATATTTCATCAATGTTTATTTTACTGTCAAGTTTATTTTGCAGATAAATAATTTACAAAAAAGTTTATTTTATAAACAATTTATTTCATTGATAGCTAATTTATATAGTAATTCTATTCATTATCAGATTTACATTAAAGTGATATAAATTGTCAATAAAATATACTGTCTACAAAATAAAATTGTCAATAAATTAATTATTTAAACTAAGTTGTCAGCAAAATGAGCATAGATTTAAATTTATTCATAAAAAAATATTATTAAAAACTATAGTAATTTGAGATGCTTACTATAAGATGACTATTGTTGCAAGATCGAATGACTTTACAGAATTACAAATTTAATTTTATTTTTAACCTTTATAGTTTTTTATATCATTCTTATAGAATCATTAAATGCAGGTTAATGCTGTGACTATATATGATTGTTGAAATCAAATTACTATAGTTTTTTTTGCTATCAGTTGCCTTGTAGTAAAGAGTGGTTTTATTATCTAGTAATTCATGACTAATAGTAATGTGTTGTTAATTGTGAGTTATTTATAGGTTTCACTATCGCTGCATAAACTTGTATTTTGTAATTAGGCTCTACGGCTACAAGGATTTCTTGTTTAGCTCTGCAGTTGTAATACATCTGCAATGGTATTGCAAAGACCTCTTGTTTGATAATTAAACTTTATAGCAATAATAAAGCAAAGAGCCTTTTGTTTGGTGACTAGGCTTTGTAACTCAATAGCAATGCAAGAGTCTCAGGTTTGGTAATTATATTCTATAATATATAATTTTTACTTTGGTTTTGCTGATTATAATTCTCAATATAGTTTTGACAAATATTAATACAGTATATCCTCCCAAAACTGATCTTGTCAAAATCGATAACTTGCTATAACTGATAAAAAATTAATTCACCATGTCTGTTTCATAATTCAAACCTGATAATATGCCATTTCTAATAACCAATACCCAAAATATCATAATCAGATAGATCAGATTTAACAGATAACATAAATCGATTTGATTAGCTTAGATCTGGTTTTGTATAATAGAGTATATATATAAGAAATATAATCCAGCCAATTATATTTCTTTATAATCATATGACTATCAGTCTATTAGTATTGCAAATCTGATAATCTCCTAGAACTGATACAAAAACTGATTAATAGTATATAAATTACCAATCTAAAAAATTTTGCCCTATTACATAATCAAAGATCATTTAATTAAATTTGTGCAATATTATTATTAACAAATTTTAATTGAATTTACTGTTACTATATATAATATTTTTTTAAAAAGTGTTGCTGTATTATAGCAAAACAATATAATAGATATTCTACATGTGTATTAATTTAATTTACTTTATAGAATGTAAGTTAAAGGTTAGTTTTGTATCCCAAATTATATGTTTGTCTGCACAACCTTTAATGAGAACAGCAAAAAGGTTAACAATTTTCAAATTATTTACTAGCTACATACTTTAAAAATAATTGATTTCTAAACATGTTAATAAAAGCTATAGCAATATATTGCAACTTATTTATTTTAAAGTTAATTTGCAAGTCTAAAATTTGACCACATTAATATGGAAGTTTTTTTTTATGCAGCAAAAAATAAATTTAAGCTCAAATTAGATTCAAATTTATTTTATTATATTCTTAATTAATAGTAACAAAGTATAATACATTAAATTTTTAAAAAAAATTTTTTTTAAAAAAAAAATTTGTATATAAAATTCAATTTACAATTCTTTATAGCCAAACCTTTAAATCCAAAATATATTGTGATTTTGACTCTTCCAAGTATTTTGAATTTTTTAATATCTATTATACTGCTTATAATCATTTACTATTTTACACAATAAATTAAAATTTTTATCAATCAAATTAATCTATTTATTAGCATTCAGATTTTGAATATTCTCTTCAATAATTGATTTAACATGTTCCATTAATAAATAAAGTTCTTCTTTTTTGTAATTTATAAGTTTTTGATGATTTGAAATCATATCAATATAGTTTTGACAAGATAATTCTAAATTATAACAATAATTAAGATATTATTATTTTTTTTACTAAAAAGAAACTTTATTATTAAAGATATTTTAATTATCTGAAACTTCTTTGTTAGAAGTATCATAGTTATTAGATTGTTCATCAAAATTATCATCAACTAAAGTCTTTTTATCTAGCATATATTCTGTTGGTAGTTTATTTAAAACTGTTAAGAAAAGATTTTTAGATAGATTTTTAAATAAATTATCATATTGCTTATTGATTCGTAAAAATAAGTAGTATTCTTGCTAATGAATCTAAAAAAGAATTATCAGTATATATTTACTACATACTATATATATAATATATATGTTATATAATAAATATATATTGATATATATATATACCCTTGCCTTAACAACTTATTAATATCTTAACCAACCTCTTATTTGACAGCACTAATTATGTCATTACCAACCTTGGCCTCACAAACTTTTACTTAGTCAAAAATAGTATTGACCAAGATAAAACTATCACTTTTCTCTTTTAGAGAATTTATTATGACTCTCTTATTGCAAATATTTTTACACACTTTTCTGGATATACCCTCTCCACCTCTTACCAAACTAGCCTTATTCAACACTCAACAAACTATCTCAACATTTCAATATCTGTTCTTGTATATGTTGTACCCCAGATGCGAATTTGCCCAATTGTTAATCGGGATGGCCCAGATTATAATTTGATTTTGGGCTATCGATTT